ACAGTTTAAATATAAAACAAGAAAAGAAAGGTGAGGTTTAAATACTCTTGCAATTCGTAATTGAGTTATAGAATCGCATCGAAAATCAATTTTAACTAAACTTAATATATTCTCAGATATATACAGATATTTTTATATAACAATTTTTCGAAAAATCAAATTTTTGAAAGCTCATAACTAAGCCAAAAACGCATTAATTTTAAATCGGAAAACAGTCCCATGTTAGTTTTTATAAGTTTAACAAATCTGCATACTCAATAAAAAATGTGAAAATTTCGACATTTTTTCTTAAATTTTTAGGATGTAAACCCTTAAAAAATGTTGAAAAATTTTTAATTTTTTTTTCTCCCTAAAATGACTAGATTGATTCCCCTATTAATGCAGATCAAGAATATATATGATTTATGGGGTCGGAAATGACTCCTTCACTGCTTTGCAGGCTTCTGACTAAAATGAGAATACCCTTTAAGGGTATACTAATATTTGAAGACTAATAATAATCTCCATTTATTTTATATGACTATATATATTTCTTTTAGTGTTTTTAGTATATACATATCCCATTCGATTCATCTCGATTCCGTTGCGAGTTGCTTTCGCTTTATGCGCAACAAATTGCCTGTGTAATGAAGCAGCCTGCTCCTTCCTGAATCCCAGCATCCTTGCACATCCTTGCACATCCTGACATGCCGACATCCCGGCATCCTGTGACAAATTAGCGTCACAAAGAAGTCACTGCTGTGAGAAAGGAGAAAGGAGCTAAAAAAGCAAACGCAAGGCGAGCCCCAGAAGTAAGTTGCCAATTATATAGAAGCTGGGCGATGGACTATATACCGGATTGTGGGGTGCGTGGGATCTTTGGCTAGAAAAGTCGGTGGTTGAGTGCAAAACTGGGTGGCGACGGCAAACGCATTGCAATTGCTTCCGGTGTGAAAGCACTTTGTCAGCTTGGATGCACAAAAGGCTCAAAGTCAGACCCCCTCCCACCCAAAAAACTGGCCGGAATGAGAAAGGAAGTTGTTGCACAATGAACGCAATTGCATAAAAAAATAAGATAAAGAATCGAAATGGAATTTGGGAGAAGGAAAAAACCCCTTTTCCAACCCCTTGCGAGAGATCTTCAGACTGAAGACTATACTTCTATTTCAATGAACAAGAATGGAAGTTTACATCAACGAGCTAAGGTTGAATCCTATATAGTCTCTGCATTATAGAAAGGACTATTAGAAAAGTGATATTCATAAAGCTATGAAACTGAGAAATACGTTTGCTGAGAAATACGGTCAAACGTTCTCACGGACTTACAGATCTAACGGACAGGCGAGTTAAATGAACAAACAATTTAAAGGACAAAAGTTCTAACGGACTGAAGTTTTAACGGACGGACGTTTAAACCTATAGGCAGGTCTAACGGACAGGTAAGTTTAATGGACAGGAAGGTCTAACAGACAGACGATCTAATGGACAAACATGGCTAACGGACAGACAATCTTACGGACAAAGGGTCTAACGGACAAGCAAATCTAATGGACATATTGCCTAATGTAGAGACGGACAGACAGTCTAAGAAACTTACTGTCTTACGGTTAGGTAATTCTACGGACAGGCAGGTCGAACGGACAACCTGAGAGACAGACAGAGTTAGATTGACTCATCTGCTGAGGGTTATCAAAAATACAGATACGATATGGGATCAAAACTACCTACCCTTTTTATTTATAAATACACTTTCGGTTAAATTATAATACCCTTGTATCGAATGGCTACAATAGATACCAGCACCGGGATACTCAACAGGAAGGGTACAAATATCCTTAACCCCATGTTAGCCCAAAAGAATTCAACTGGCTTATGTTTAACATATTATTTCAGCCGTAATTTGTCATGCTTTCCTCACAAAGTAGCCCCTGGAAAGCCAATAAAATGTGGGAATTACAATTTTCCCACTTGCCCAATCAACTGAAAGATGACAATTTAAATACACAACTTTCCAGGGCTAGTCACCACCTAAAAAAAAAAACACCAAATATCTCCAACTCCAATTCTCAACTCCCACTCCAAAAGCAAAAAAGGCAAAAAGCCAAACAACGAAAAACACACAAACAAGAAAGCTCTCTCGGTGAAAAGTTTCGCACGGTCTGACGATTTAACGGGCTACTCATAAATTTATAAGTACTCTCCTCTTGGCGGCCACTCATAAAATATAAATTTGAAATCGATGCGAAAAAAAGCAGAACACATTGAGCAGAGAGAACTGTGTTGTTCTCAGCGAGGAAAACCGCAGCAAATAATCAATTTGTTACAGAGGCGTTATGCAGACGTTCTCGAAATCGAAACTCCTCTACGCACAACCCCAAAATATATACAAAAAAAAAGGAAGGGAAAAGGAAATTCCAAGCAAACCCCTCGACACTTGACTTGGATCGACGACGACGCAGCCACTTCAGGCCCAAAGTCGACATTGATGCGATTTTTTGACGAGAGTCGGCATCCGGATTGGATTCTCAGAATGAGAATGCGAATCGAAGCAAGGACCTTGTAAGGGTTGTGTGTGTGTGCCACTCAAAGGCAACGCAAATTGAATTCGCTTAGCCGCAACCCCATAAATTAAAACATTAACCAAGGCGGCGGCGTGCAGAAATTGAAATTGTCATAAAAGTTGGCAAAAAAAAAAAAAAAATGGCAAGCGACATGTAAACAGGCAAACAAATAACCACTGAGTAGGTCCTGCCACCAGCTAGAGATGGGTTAAATGTCCTAGAAGAGTTTGAAATGATAAATTGAATCTAATATTATTTTTTAGAAGAGTTTTTAAGCAATTGGAAGCTTAAATGGTATGAGTTTTATTATTTACAAATTTTTAAAATATTTTAAATCCCAATAACCCAAAAAGAGAATTGATATATTAAAGTATTTTAAAAATATTAAGAAGATAAAAGATAAAATAAGTAAATAAATGTTTAAAATAAGATAACATAAAATATTTAAAACTTATATTTTAAAGCCATTACAAAAATAATAACTCTAGTATTATTCCACCAGTTAGAGATGTGTTCTTTCCTAAAAAAAACTTCTATTATTTAATTAAATCTTGTTTTTTAAAGACCTACATTATTTTTGAGAAAAGTTCTTAAGCATTTAAGAGCTTTATTATTGAGATTTTTATATTAAAATTGAATCTAAAGAATCTTTGAAGAAAAAATGCATTTTTGGGATTTCGCAAAGTATTTTATTATATGATATTTACAATATAATTTACAGATATATTAAAACTCATTTCGTGATTAACCCCTGACGGCCTCACGATGTCAGCTGTATAGCGTTTCAACTGCCTTTCAGGGTAGTTCCGGCAAGTCAATTAGAAACGTTTCCATACTCAAACGACGTCTTTGCAAAGTTGAAATCGATTCGGAACTGGCACTGGAATATATATATATACATATATAGGAAGTGGTGTGGGATCTCTTGACTGAATTGGTTTGAGAATTGCAGGCTCACTTCTTGCCAGGGGTCCTTGGCAAATGTTAACAATTTCTAAGTGAGCAGTTTAGTGGCTGCTTCCCAGGCCAAAAAATGCAACAGTTTTTGAGTGCCTCCTTGGCCTCGTCCTTGTCCTCACCCTCGTCCTCATCCTCGTCCTCGTCCTCGTCCTGGTTCCCCTTGAGATCTCAACTTGGGCGGCATTGTTGACGGCTTGCTCGTGTGTCAGCTTGCATTAGGCTCAGGATCGGCCAGGTCCTTCAGCCCTCGAGTCCTTAAGTTGCAAAACAAAGGCCAGTTCGTTTCCCGATTGCTCTTTTTTTTCTTTTTACTTTATTATTACTACACACAATAGACGTCTTAAGACTAGGCTCAAAAAAAAAGTAAAAAAAAATTGTTTGCAAAAAAAAAAGTATGTTTTGTTGTTGTTGGTCTGTTGCGTATGTACAAAAATCATTTACAAAAATTTACAAAAAATTTCTCTATGCTAGATTTAATTAAAAATATATATTATATATATAGAAAAAAATTATTTCGCTTATTCTGGTTCACAATTACTGGAGATTATTCTTAAAGACAGATGAACATGGAGAGTGTCTAATACTGAGAACGCTTCAAGCCATATATCCAGTGAGAATGTTGTTGTTTTGAGACATATATATATATAAATATACTATATATATATATACTATATAGTACTATTAAATTGGCAGATATACACATTTTTTACATAATTATTTTTTGTCAAGAATATTTAAAGACCAGAGATGTTATTTTCTTGTTACTTTCCTCCTAACTTAACCCTTTGTATGAAAATGTTTCTAAACATGTCATAAGAAACAAATTAGAAAATAAATAATCTTTAGCTGAAATGAATTTTTAAAGTTAATTTGTAAATGTAATTGACAGTCAAAGCATTCGTTAATAAAAATATAATATATATATATATTTTAAATTAAAGTCAAATTAAATGGTTGTATTTTATCTACAAAGGGTTAATTTCAGAATTTGCTTTGTATTTGATTTTTACCATAATTATATATGATAAAATATTAATCTGGCCCTGAAGTAGAGTTTTTATATATATTTTACTATTTTCTGTTGTATTTTTTAAATTGATTTTTACAACACATCCCACAAAATCATTGCCATTTTCTATTTCTTTCTTTTTTGCATATATCACCCACTTAATTTAGGTTTAGAGACATTCTTTGTGAGATCCAGCTCCAAGGACTGACAAATACTAGCCAACAAAGTCTTAAACTTTGCAAATACACTGGTATGAAAATATATTAAATATAAACAAAAAAAAAGGTAAATACGTATATACAGGAATATGCAAAATTAAAATTTTACATACATATACTTAAGGGAGAGGATTTCGATTTAAATAAATAATCATTATTTGGTATTTAAGCTAGCAAGGAAAACCAAGAAACCCCAGAAAACCCCCGAGTACCGAGTGCATTTTCCCCGTTGGCTAGTTTTACATGCTGGCCAAGCCCTCCCCTTGCTCCTCCTCACACCTCCAAGGCCAACTCCTCATCCTCATCATCCCTTTCCTCCTCGCCCCGCTGCTCAATCTCTGGTTCCGCCAGTGGCAGCTCCTCCTCGCCCCGCCGCGTCGGCGGACTGCCCGGATTAAGGGGCGGACTGGGCGTTATCAATCGCTGGCGACTACTACTACTACCCCTCTCGCAATCCGCCTCACTCGTGGCACTCTGGCTAGTGGCAGGCGATCTGTCCCTGGGTGGCAACAGCGAAGCCGTTGGCGGCTGTGCAGAAGCGGCAGCCGCTGCAGCGGCGGCATAATAACCGCTCAACATGGGCGCTGCTCCCGGTGGCGGTGGAGCGGGCATACCAGGCAAGGCCATGCCACCCGGCATACTTGTGGGATACATGCGGTACGAGGCAGGCAGAGCGGGTTTCTGCAAAGCGGCGGCAGCGGCCGCCTGGCGGTAATAAATATCAATGGCCGAGGGCGGTGTACCATGGGGGGATTGGGCCGCAGCGGCGGCTGCATAGGGCCAGGCGCTCAAATAGGGCGTGGCACCGCCATAAAGACGCTGAAAAGCGGCATAGTTGCCAGCCTCGGCAAGGAGTTCCAAACCCACAGCTGTCTGGCGTTTCCATTTTGTTCTGTAAGAGAGAGAAAAGTAAACAAGAAATGTTAAAGAAAGTCCTTTTTCTAGATTTTTAATAAAATATATAATAATTTTCTCCCTTTCCTTCAGTTTAAAACTATTTATTTTCCCCTACTCTTTGAACTAAGGCCCCGCTATTCCATGATGGTGAACACTATCCTTAATCTTAAAACCTTAGCATTTAAAAAAGAGAGCAAGGAACATATAGAGAGGACTCGATCCTCTCTATTAATCATGAACGAAATAGTGCCAAGTCACTAAAGGCATCTCCTGCAACCCATATCCCGTCGTGCCGCTCTCGAGGGTTCCGCCCCGAGTGTTTATATTTCGCACTTAATTGTTTTGTCATTAATCTTGTGCCTGCCCGCCAAAACAGACTAGAGAAAAAACAGCTCTTAACCGAAAACTGCAGCCTAATTGGCAGAGACCCGCCTCTGGCAGCCATGAGCCGGCTCCTTTCCTATTTTTTTTTTGCCAAATCCTGTAATTGTTTGAGGCGCCAGGACCTAAGGAAACTAGAACTAGAGCCAGATCGACGGGGTTTGTTTTTAACAATATTTTGCCCATTCATTGAAAAACAGCAGCTGTGAAATATTTTGGCCTAATGTGAGGTATCATGAATTGACTTTTAAGTAAGATTATGACAGCCTAAGGGGTTATATTTCGTTTTCATTTTACACTTTTCAACTCAAAGTTAAGGTTTGCCCAAAGTTTATTTATTGAAAGAAATGAATTTATTTTCAAAAATTTTAAGAAATGCAATATTAATTAATAAATCAAGTACAAGTGCCTTGAAACCTGAATTAAAAATTCCTTAATCTTTTTAAGTGTATTAAAAGTTTGTTGCGTAGTTTCAACTTTATAATTCTCAAGTACAAATTCAGTACGTATATATAACTACAAAAATTTTAAGAAACTTAATTAAATATGCCATAAAAAAAGTAATTAAATATTGTCCCACTCTGGTTTAGTTTTATACTAATTTCTGCAATTATTGAACCTCTTTATGTACATTTATTCGATTGAACATACCTCACAACAAGCGTATATTACAGCTAAGTTATTTATTTCAAAAAAAATTATATAAAGAAATATTTAAAAAAAAAAACCCTATATGATTGACCCCCTCTTAAGGTCCCCCTTCCGAATAAGAATTCACACAGCCCAATGCGGCCCAACTCATATCCGGTTGGACTTGATGCTCTCCAAGCTACGAGCAAATATGTGTGGTGTGTGTGTGTGCTTCTTCCTAGGTATAAGCCTCTCGGCGGCCAATTGTTGTGGTCAGCATTCTCATCGAAATAGTGGCAAGTCATTGAACAATAATTAAAAACGAAAATAATACGCGATCGATCGTAATAAGGCAGTAGCAGCAGCAGCACAAGCACCATCACTAACGAAAGACTTAGGCAACAAACTTGCACTGAACAAAAAAACGGCCAAACATAAAGCAAGCCGCTCTCTCTCTCTCTCCCAGAAAGATTTTACGATGCGCCGCGCAAAATGCAGCAAATTAAGCAATCAGCATAAAAACTAAAATGCCGATAAGGTGATGTATCCGAAAAAGGATGGATGAAAAGCATATGAAAAACATTTTTATTGGATAAGTGCGCAAAAAGAAATGGGCGCAACCCATTAAAGGCGCTGATTAGCGGCCACTCTGTGGCAAAAACCTCCTCCCCCTAGCCCCCCTCCACTCCCCTATCCCTCTCTACCACTAATCAGAGGCAATATGCCGACGCCACTCACCTGCGATTCTGGTACCAGGTCTTCACCTGGCAATCGCTCAGCTCCAGCTTGTTGGCCAACTCCATACGATCCTGGACACTGAGGTATTTCTGCCGCTCAAAGGACTTCTCCAGCGTCTGCAGCTGGTGATCCGTGAAGGCGGTTCGTGCCTTTCGCTGTTTCTTGCTCAGGCTCAGGCTCAGGTGCGATGAGGAGTCACCGTTGGCTGAGCTGCCATTCTTGAGGCTATCCTCGCCATCATCGTCCTTGCCACCTGCAAATGTAAAATGTTGAACAATAAATGTAAATGTTAATTGGATAATTAATTAAAGCTTCTAAAGAGAGTTCCCGTTTAATCTAATTATTAACTAATTTAACAAACAAACTAATCTATATTTCGGGGTAAAAACTAAGGCACATTAGCTATATTTGTTTAAATATTCAATCCCCCCCTCCCCCCTCCTCCTGAGCTTTGTACATTTTCCTTGACTTGTAATTTTCACTCCCCCTTCTCCACTCCATGAAGACATCTCTCATATTTGCAATTTTCTGCAACATTTATGCGCTTTCTTGGCGTTTTTATGACCGGCCAACATGCAACAAGATCAACTGCTGCTGCTGCCTCAACTTGTGTACATACTATATACATACATATGTATGTATGCATGGGGCAACATTGTTCTTACTGCTGCTGCTGCTGCTGCATTTTCTCTGCTCCGTTCGAAAATGTTTTCTGCTAATTTGCAATTAAACAGTTTATGAGCAGAAATTACAACAAACAACAGCAACAAACAATTATCAGCATTACTTTGATGGATGGACAGTGAACAGTGAAGATTGGCGCTAAAGGCTACCTGGTGATGGAAGGTGGAGGTAACCAAGAGCATATAGTTGAGAGTAGAGAACTTTATAGACGCGCATCGACCTTAAAACGTGGCTAATTTAATGATGGGCATAAATAGCTGTTATTTGCTGTGAAGTCTACAACTCCGATTCTAATTTAATGTTGCCTTTCCTTTGTTGTTAAGCAACACGACAGGTTTTTAATGTTGAGTCCAAGAAAATGGTTAGAAAGGACAAGGAAAATGTTTCATCATTATACGAAGCTTAGAAACATCAACATATACAGTAAATGCCTCTAGAACTCATTGGGAATTTTAGAGGTAATTCAAGAGTTAAGTACAGAGAGAAATGCTACACTCCCTGTTATAATTTTCAACTAGTTCCGCTTACTTTTATTTAATTTTAATTGTTAAAAGCCAAACAGTTTTGAATTCAATTAATTTCATTAATATTTTTGTTAAGAATCTTTTAAATCACATTGTTACCATATGTCACAATGCACTTGGGGCCAAACTGGGCTTGAGAATCTTATATTTTTTTCTAAAATCCATTTTACTTTGTTGAATGCTTCTCTAATAACTGGGGTAGGTGCACCTGCGGCATCTTCCGCCTTCTTCCCTGCCCTGCCCCTGCCCCCATCTATGCAACGCCCGCTCTAAACATGCATTAACTTGGCTTTCGAGTTATTTCCGCAATTTCTGTTCCACACTTTGCAGACCTCATAGCAACCCCCTCTCTGGCTCTTTGGCTCCCCCTTTTTTTTGTGGCTAGGTAGTGCCCGCGACCCCTCCTTGAAGTTTTACATTCGCATTTGTAATTAAGTGCTTGTGGCTAAACTGTATTAAACATGCCTAAGTGTGCAACGCCAACTTCCTTAGGCGCTATCTTCCTCTCCATCTGCTGCTTCCTGCTATCTCGTTCTGTTTTCATTTCACAGTGAACCCTCTGTACAGTGAACTAAAGCATGGTATAACTTTTGCCATGAGAATATAAGAAAGTAAGCCTTTAATCTCGAAATCTCAATCGAAGTCTAAAAATCTATATAATCTTAAATAAACAAGGCGAAAGTCACAAAAGGCATGTTGCAAGGTAAATGTTGCCAAGAACATGTTGAGCTTGCAACACAGGCATGTTGCATGTTAAGCCGGGACTCAAACCCAGGGTTTGAGGCGTGTGCAAGTGAGATAGATATAAGCTTGCAACTTTAATGTCTAATAACTCCTTTGTTTATCTATCAAATAAGATTAAATTTTAGAAACAAGTTCATAGAAAGCTAATTCATATATGTATATACAGGTATACGAAAGATAAGAAAACTATAATCAGTAAATAACTATGATCAGTAATTAACTCTGAACAATAAGTATCTATGACCAGTAAGTATCTATGAACATTAAGTAACTCTTAAAAGTAAATAGCTATGACCAGTAAGTAACTATGATCAGTAAGAATCTATGACCATTAAGTATGTATGATCAGTTACTAACTTTGAACACTAATAAACAATGACTTGCAACTTTTGTAACACAACACATGTCTGAGACTCGGCTGGCAGCAGTCACTTCGTTCCGGGGATGTTAGAACAAGTTGGGAATCATATGCACAGATGTGCGAGACTTGTTTTGGAACAAATTTAAGAGCAAGCTACTTGAATGAAACTATGGAGTTATTCTTCTATATAATTTTACAAGTATATAAGTCGAAACATGGCGAATCGGTGGACTATATACATATATACATATATATAGCTGCCATAGGAACGATCAGAAAATTTTAAGAAAAAAACTCGAACTTTCCCAATTTTCAACCGATTTTAACCAAATTTAAAACATAGCCATTATATATTAATCTAGAATTTTGTGTAAAATGTTTATCCAAATCGGGCTACTATATCATAAAGCTGCCATACAAACGATCGTTAAAAATAGACGAAAATGCAAAACGGTGAATGAAATGAAAGCAGGCATTACATTATTGTTTTTTAACATAAATATATATAATTTATATTGCCCTGATTCCTAGTGATCGAATTTCAATCTGCAAGGGTATTCAAACTTTAGCGTTCCGAAGTTAGCTTGCTTTCTTGTTAATAATAATTTTGTATTTTGTAGCATTTTCCTAGTTCACTGTAGTTTGCTTACTTCTTCTTCTTTGGCTTTTAATTGCGCAACCATGGGAAGAAAAAAGCAGCACAAGCAGCAATAAGCAAGCAAGCAGCAACACATTTGCAATTGGCCTTTTTGCATTTTAATTAAAGAACAGCAACAGCCAACGTTCTTATTTTCCCTCATTTTCCTTTACATTTCGTTCGTTTTTGTTTGTTAAACGTTTATCAACATTTTGATAATGTTGGCGTTTAGTGTACTCTTGAAGGCACTGGCAAAAAAAGAGCTGCACCAAACTAAGTATGGCAAGTGCAACAGCAGCAACATGAGAAGCGTGTGCTGTGTGTGCTTTTGTGCTCTCTGCTATGAGTGGTTGTGCTTACATAACGGTTATTCGGTTTTCGTGCTACCTGCATTATAATTTGAAATTATTATAGTTACTATTTTTTATGGGCTTTTGTTTTTTGTTGTTGTTGTTTTGTTGTGTCTGCGATTGAACATTTCCTTTACGGACAATGGGTGAATATTTTAAAGTCGAAAAATGTAACAATGTTTTTGAAGGAAAGAAATCTTATTAAGATATATTATAACATCTTTAATAAAAAATGAAAACAGATGATATGCTGTTAACTTTATTTTAAAAAATAAAGCAGTTACTAATTGTTAATTATACTAAATTATTCTGACAAAAATTAAATATTTATGTACACAAGTCAAGGTCTTGCATTAAATTCAAAGATACTATTAATGGCATTAGTAATTATTAATCAACATGATAAATTTAATGGATAAAGTTAGCCAAAAATATAATTATTAAAAATCTACATATATTGAAGTATATATATTTATTTATTAAACATTATATAGATAAAACCGATGAGATTTCACGTGGAAGCCAAAGCAAAAGTCTGGCATTCTTGAATCGTGTTTTGTGAAAGGTGATTCCCCAAAATATCAATTTCAATATTGAAATTTTGGTGTTTATTTTTATTTTTATTTTTTTTTGTAGCACTTGCGGGAGGCATTGAGGCGGCAATGGAAATGATCCTGATCCCTGATTATTTTTCGAGCCCCACCTTATACCCCTCTGTCAGTGCACAGTTCAATGGGCAGGAAATAAGCATTTGGGTCCATTTCAAAAGCGATGCGATCTTTTTTTTTCGTCATAAGCCCCCACAAAAGTAACCCCCAAGAATAAGAAGAAGAAGCTGACAAAAAAAAGGACAAGGAGTATGGGGACAAAAAAAATATATAAAAAAAAAACAAAAACCAAAATAAGTTAAGGGAAAAGGAGAGGCAGGAGTAAGGCACGAACAAGGAGCAACTGTCGCTCGCACGCTTCTCAAGTGACACGCGAGCGTTGCCTTGCCTCCTCCTGAAACTCTGTTTTTTTCTTTAACTATTTTATATATTATTTTATAAAATTAAAAATCCCTATAATATTGATTTATTTCCCAATGAAAAACAACATATAAACCTATAGTTTCTAGTAGTTTTTGGTGTGCCTACAAAACATCTCAATCTTTAAGGCGTGGGCTCTTTCAGAAAGAGAGCCTAAATGTCAATGGGATACCATATGTGGGCTGTGTTTGTGTGTGGCTGCCAGCCAGCAGATAAAATTTAATTTTTGATTTCTTTCTTTATTATTTTTTACTTTTTGTTTTATATATATGTATATATTGTGTGTTTGGTTTGGCTTGGCTTGTGTCTTAAATCAAAGCGATTTCGGTTGGAAAAATTGACAGCGGGACGTCAAAACAGAAGGGGGTCATGAGTTTCTTAGATCGAATCGCTTGGCCTGGCCGGTGGTAAGAGCTTAATTGATTTTGGCACAAGTCAATAAAAAATATGTTTTTTTTTTTTATTTTTGAAAATGATCTGTGAAATTGGAGAAAAATAATTGAGATGCGTTGAAGCGTTTGATCAAAATCAAAATAGAAAACCTAATAATCAGATAATAATTTGTGAAGCCATTAAATGATATTTTCAAGCGAGGAATTAGGGTTTAACTGAAGAGATTTCGTGCTATAAACAGAGACCAAGCTTTTGAAAATAATATATATTTATATGAAGGTTATGTCAGTTCTATATATAAAACTCTCTGTAGTTTTTTTTTAACTATTTTAAAATGTAATAAATATTTCAAAAGACTTAGCCAAGGTCTTGCTTATCAAAACTATACTTTAGCATGATTCTATAGCCTTTGGTTGTCCTCTTAAAATAAATATATACATTTGTGTGTTCTCTCTCTACAAAAATTACAGGGAACTAAATCAATTTCAAGCGCGCGATTACGGCTATTTAATAGTAATTTGTCATAATTAGCATAACGTTTAAAAGCACTTAACGGGTAATCAGAGAGGGGCGAGGCTAAATTAGCAACTGAAACTGAAACTGAAATTGAAACTGAAACCGAAACTGGCAACAAAATCAATTAAATTGTTGCATGCAAAAATAAAACGAAACAAACTAAGGACGGGCGTCAGTCAAGGGTATTCTCGAATACGATATTGAAACTCCTCCGGTTGACAGAAAGATACATATATCTATATATATAAATTCACAGCTAATCTGCTTTAACAAGTGAGACAGAGCTAGAGAGACACCTGCCTCAGACTCAGACTCACCTGTGTGTGCCTCAACTATCCCCCACTGCTGCCTTTAGTTTTCTCAACCTTTTTCCCCACTTCGTGCCTCTGAATTAATGGTGGTGCTGGTTGGTAGTGGTTGTTGTTGTGGCTGTTTTTCGGCCGTTATCTATTAGCTAACAGCCACAACAACAACAACAGCAACAACAGCAACTGCAACGCTTAGCACTCAATGTTTGATAGCCATATGGTCCGATATATTTTTAAGTGGTGTGAAATCACTTCAGGTTTTATCATCAATATTAAAGTACCATACAAATTTACACCAAACTTGGTTGCTTCTTAATTTAAAGTTGCAACGAATTGGTAATAACTAACTCGGTTTACTTTCTTCTAAAGAATTATTACTTTATTATTATTTCATGAATATTATGTTTATGAGAGTTAAGTTATTACGAATTTAAGAAAATATGCAAGGATTTATGTGTAAAGTGTGGTAACCTTATCATTTTTCATAATATCCCTTGATAAATAAAGAAATAATATGAATATCATGGTGATCAGATTGAGTCAACCTACCATTAAAACCAACTTAGTAAATTAATTGCATATATATCCCGAAAAATTAGATCAAAAATCTAGTCAAATCTGATATTATATATTAGAGAATTTTAATGGATAAAAGCTTTAGGACTTACCGCAATCATCGCTGTCGCTGTCATCGATGGTACTGGCCTGATCACCGCTGATGCTGCTGCCTGCTCCCGCGAGCAACATGTGGCTGTTGCCATTTCCATTGTTATTGTTGCTGTTGCTGGTTGCCGTGTTAATGTTAATGCTGTTATTGTTGTTATTATTATTATTATTATTATTATTATTGTTGTTGCTATTTGAGCTGCCATTGTTGTTATTGCCCAATTGCTGCAACATAAGCGGCGATCGGGATCGGTCATCATGCAACAGAGCTCCCTGATGTTGCTGCTGCCGATGCTCCACCGTTAACCCATGACCGCCGCCATGTCGATGCAGTGCCTCCAATCGTTCTCGCTCCATTTGCAATTGATGCGGATGGGGTTGCTGTTGCTGCGCCTGTTGCTGTTGCTGTTGCTGTTGCTGTTGCTGTTGCAGGGCAACATAGTGGGCGGGTGGAAAGTGTGCGAGCAAGTGAGGCGGCATGGCGGGATGATGATAATGAGCTGGTGGCGAATGACGCTCCCGAAAATGTTCCCGCTCCCGCTCCCGCTCCCTTTCCCGCTCCCGATCCCGTTCCCTTTCGAAGCGCAGCAACTGTTGCTGTTGTACTATGTATTGCTGCAGTGCTGCATGATGTTGCTGCTGGTGATGTTGTGCCTGTTGCTGCTGCTGTTGCTGGTGATGTTGCTGCTGCTGTTGCTGTTGCTGCTGGTGATAGTGGGCGGCCAGGGCCTGCTCCCGCTCCCGCTCTCGCTCCCTCTCGCTGTCCCGCTCTCGGTCCATCGAGTCCTGAGGACTGCCACGCCCCGTGGAGGAGGCTGCGAGGGCAGCTGCTGCCGCCGCTGCACCGGCCAAAATATCGGTGATCATGAAACGGGATCGCGTGGCCGTCGTTGTCGGCGTTGTGGATGTGTTGTTGCTAACGGTATTGCCGACGGCCGGTGTGTCGCCACCTGGCGGTGAGTCACGCGGCGGGTGGACAGTGCCGCTGGGCACACTGGCAACGGGAGTTGCCGTTGCTGTGGACATTTCCGGTGGCATTGTGGTCATGTGTGGCTGGCGGCGGTGATCCCCCGATCGGCTACCACTCCCCCACACCGGGCACTTTCGACACTTGAACAAAAAATTCTTCACACGCGAAAATATATGCCACACCACAAGTTGCTCTCGGTTTATGTGTGTGTCTTGTTGATAATTTAAAAGGACAAGAGTTTGTCGAGTTTGTTTTTAATTAAGTGAAAGTTGTTGATAGTGGCCCCTTGAAACTTGTTATTTCTTGTTCAGTTTTGGGGCTTTTTCATTTTGTTGTTGTTTTAGACTTCAATTTATATGCAATAAAAATCACTTTTAATTGTTCCACTAAAAGTTAAGCTTGTGTCTAGACGTTTTGTTGTTTGTTTTTAATAGTTTTGAAAGGTTTTCCGTCTTTTTTACTTAATTTCGGAGGGTTGATTTGTCTTTGTTCTGCTAATGTTGCAGTTTTTGGTGTCACACTTAACAGACTTTTCGATAACAAAAAAATATATATGTTTGAAGCACTCAGGTGCGCTTGAAGCTGTGGTATGTCGCGCACTGTTTTTGTTTTGACTCAAAGCGGAGGAGCGTGCTGCTGACAAAAACAACCGCTCGCCTTTGGCTTTCCACCGAAACTGAGACTCTTGACGGCCAGCAAAAGCAGCTTAGCGGCGCAACAGCGAGCAGCAAGCGAAGGAAAAAACCAGTTGAGCCTCTGAGGTGCCTGCCAGCTGCCACCTGTCTCGTCGTCTCTTTCTCGCCGCCTGGGGGCGTGGTGAGTTCCTCTCGCTGTCCGCCACGAATCTCTCTAGCTCTCCAGCACTCTCTCTTAAGCTCCGCCGCTCTGTCTCCCTCTATCGCATTTGGCCACTTACTGGCGTGTCTATTGCCCGCATTTATTGGTCGTAATTGGCAGCAATTGACATTTATTAGGCTTCAATCAGCAGCAGCAGCAGCAGCAGTAGAAGCAGCAGCGTCGGCAACAACAACTCCAGTGTGTAAATGTAAGTGTGCGTGTGTTGTTCCGCTCTCCCTCTCTCTGTCTCTCACTCTACCCACTCTCTAGCTATCTTGGTGTGGTGAGTTTCCCCACTCGCAATGGCCGCTAACGGTAATTTTTATGGCAAGAGACAAATTTGGTTTCGGCTTGATTTGTAATCCCCCAATTTTATAAAATAACGAATAAAATGATTATGATCGGAATTAAATATTATTAATAATTATATTAATAGTACTATTAATATTAATATTATTATTATAAAGTATTAGTTCTAAATTAATCAATTTTAGGATCAGGGTTTAAGGTTTCAGAAAAATTTCAATAAAGGTTTGCAGATAAAATAATAAATATAGATAAATAAAACATATATATATATGTTTAAATAATAATATATAACAATAAAATAAAATATAAATAATTTAAAAAAAATATGTATTCGAATTTAATAATAATAAATTTCGAACTAATAAGTTCTGTATTCAATATTTCATTAATTAAATTAACTAATTTCTCAGTTCCCGATATTTTTGTTTCCAACAAAAAAATAATAAAAATTAAAAATAATAATAAAAAATATGAAATCTAAAATTTTTAGCCCATTTACAACCTAAAAACTATTTGCAAACAATTTTCTAAGACTTGCTATAAACTTTTTATGGCATCACCCCGGGCACACTCAACACGATTATGGCAATGTTGCAGCCTCTGGTGTATCTGATGGATTGCCACAGATGGCCAAGATGGATGGATGAATGGGATGCTGTCATCCCTGTTTTGAGCAGACCACGCCCCCTTAAACTGGTTCACACACACACATACACACACATCCATACACACACGCTAGCGCGTGGCTACATCTGCCTCGCTCTGACACCGGCAATGGCCGGCACTCTCACACACACACGCATCCCCATCAGGCTCTCTCGCTCGCCAGACTTTGTTGTTCTTTGTATTTTTGCGCTTGTTAACACTTTTTGTTTGCCATTTAAACAGTAAATTGGCAGCAGTTAAATGCCGCACACTCGCTCTCTGTCGCACAGTAGAGTGCCTCTCTCCTTACACATCTTTTTCTACACCCTTTTGGTTTCCTTTTGTTTGTTTTTTCTTCTTTTTTTCCGATTTTAGTATCGATGTCGATTTGCTGCCTAATGTGGTAGTGAATTGCCAGGCTAAGTAGTGCAAAGCATTATTTTACGATATTTTACTGTATGAAGTTAATTAATTTAGACTTAAATTCAATGATCTAGTACACGAAACTAATTGATTTTCATATTATTTTTTACTCTTGATTAAACAAACTAGTTTTTTCTATATAGATTTTTATCAAGTCTATTAATTTCCTTTTGTTTGAACAACCCCTCTATTAAAAAAAAGTACTATGAAATCACTCGGTATGGCTGGAATCGGAATTTAACCAGCTTCCTGTTGCGGCCCCGATGCTTCCAGGAATATTTTGAATTGATTGTAGTAGATATATAATCAGGTTTAAGCAGGAAAATAAAGATATCCATCAAGTTAGCAAAGTAACTTTGGAAAATCAACCATTTTAAATGCACAATAATTTGCGTTAACTACGAATAATTAAAAGTAAATTATGGTGCCATCAAAAGTTAAATTTTTCAAAGTTGCGAACTTGATCGACAACAAAAAACTGTCAGAAAGGTAGCTATTACAATAAATATGAGTATAAATAACAATAAACAAATAAAACAAAATGGTGCAAATTTTTGCATTAAAAAGGATTCCAAATATGTACATTCAATATAAAAATTAAACAAATTGCTCACTCACCAACTTTATTATATCTTTCTTCATCGTCTTCGGAATTTTTCTTCTTCAATTTAATTATTTACCCATGGCAAATATTTAATTCTGTCTGCTCACGGTATTTCCTTTGGTGTCTTTATTTTACTAACACAACTAAAACCATTTAATATATTAATTAAACACTTACATATTCACTTTTTGAATCGGAAATTTAATTACTCACTGCACACATCAGATTCTAGGCACACAAGAGCTTTCTTGTCTTTCCTCTTTTCATCCTTTCCCTTTGAAATTTAAGGCTATTTTTAACCTCACAATCACACTTAAAATAAGGCGAAAAAAAAAACAACAACAAAAAATGAAAAGGAATGAAAAGAAATGCAAAATTGCACACACTCACTCACACATCACATCACAGCACTGCACTTTAATACTCACTTAGTTAATACACGCACTTTAAACATTTTTTTTATTTACTTTTTTACGTTGAAACTGTTAACAAAACGCACTTGAGCCGCAAAGAAAATATTTCTTTTGCTTTTCTTTTTTCTCTTTCTTTGCCATGTACACAAACATGCAAATATGCATGGACTCCCTCACACACATATGTATGTACATACATGACGGTGGCTGCTGCTGCCTCCCATTGTCGGCATGTCTCCCTGCAATTGTAGAGGCATTAATTAGATATCTACTTACTAAATATTTTTAAAATGTTTTCTATTTGTAGCACATAGATATAAATATATATGTAGTTATTAATAAAAATCACCTTGGCACTTGCGCAATTGCGGATTTTTTCACATTCCGTTTTTCGCCCTCACATTTTTGTTGGGAGTAAAACCGTTCTTTGCCAGCGGCGCATCTCAATTTTGATCATCTCTTTTCTTTTTCTCTTCGCAATCTCAGCATACGGCAATACCGATTTCAATATACGCAATTTTGGTATGGCAACACCAATTGGAACACAAACCTACATACATACATACATGCATGCAAAACATACATACCTAGCGGGGGCGCTCCGTTAAATGCCGCGGGAGTCACTTTTCTTAATGCAGTTTTAGTGGCTTTAATTAGATATACACTTGCTAACTGTATTAAAAACGTCTTCTTTTAACATCACTAGCGTATTTATGTAGTTATTTATTAAGTTCACTTCGGCAATTGCACAATTTATAAGTTTTCACATTCCGTATTCCGCCATTACATTTTTAGTTGGAGGGCGAAGCAGCGACAATTTCACATATACACAAAATCTTTATGAAATCCACTTGTTTACTGGTAAATTAAGCGCGCCCGCATAAAACACAGTTTGTTTAATTGTTTTGATAGTTTAGCAAGTATTATTAAACGTTTTTTCCTAATTAAAAACACTCTTTAGCAGCAGCGCGTCTTTTCTTACACTTCGCCAATTTTGATCTGCTCTTTTCCTCTTCATCATCACTTCGCTCTCGCTCTCTCGCCACAAGAAACCGTTTCTAACTTGCATACGGTATCTCACACCAACGCATTTTTGGCTGGACGACACATAATTGGAACACACACATACATACATGGAGGGGGTGCTCCTTTCATTGTGCGCGGCAGACTCACATTTTTAAACGCAGTTTTAGTGGCTTTAATTAGATATACACTTGCTAACTGTATTACAAATGTCTTCTTTTAACATCACTAGCGTATTTATGTAGTTATTTATTAAGTTCACTTCGGCAATTGCACAATTTATAAGTTTTCACATTCCGTATTCCGCCATTACATTTTCAGTTGGCGGGCGACGCAGCGACAATTTCACATATACATAAAATCTTTATGAAATCCACTTGTTTACTGGTAAATTAAGTGCGCCCGCATAAAACACAGTTTGTTTAATTGGTTGGATCGTTTTGCAGGTATTATTAAACGTTTTTTCCTAATTAAAAACGCTCTTTAGCAGCAGCGCGTCTTTTCTTACACTTCGCCAATTATGATCTGCTCTTTTCCTCTTCATCTTCACTTCGCTCTCGCTCTCTCGCCACAAGAAACCGTTTCTAACTTGCATACGGTATCTCACACCAACGTATTTTTGGCTGGACGACACATAATTGGAACACACACATACATACATGGAGGGGGTGCTCCTTTCATTGTGCGCGGCAGACTCACATTTTTAAACGCAGTTTTAGTGGCTTTAATTAGATATACACTTGCTAACTGTATTACAAATGTCTTCTTTTAACATCACTAGCGTATTTATGTAGTTATTTATTAAGTTCACTTCGGCAATTGC